GGAATCAGGGCAGCGTATGGCAAGTAGTCGTTCAAGTTAGCCTTGATGTCACCGATCAAAGCGGTAATGTAACAAACGTTAACATCGTCAGCAGATACGGAGGCAGCAAGTGCCAACAAGGTGGCAGCAGAAACAGTAGAGTACTTCATTGTAAGCGAACGGAAGTAGATTTTTGGATGAACAAAAAGGAAAGAAATCTTCCGGGTTCTAGAGGGGAAAGCCTGCCCTTTTATAGTGTTTTACTCTGTGTTGCTCTTACTGTATTATGCTAATTTGCTATGGCAAGTTAGGGTAGAGTTTAGGGATGCATATGGGTCCTAAGCAGCACAGCTGCGTTGAAACTGTGGGGCTGTAGATGTCCCAGCTGCAAAATTTATGCAGAATAATAGGTTCGTCTATCCGGTTTGAGTAAAGGTTTTTGGCAGAGCAAGTGGAACAAGTGCTCTTGGTCCATCCTCAAAGCAAAGTCCAAAGGGGAGCAAGTGTGGCGTTCATGATGCATAAAAGACATTGTGAGTATCTCAGACACCGTAGGGCTTGGAGGAGGTCATTGTTAAGGGCTTATCCTCTGTCGAGTCGCTAGGTGGAGTTTGCCAACTACCGAAAAGTGAAATACACCCCTCGAGCCGAACCAGGCCTTTTTGACTAAATGGCATGGCAAGAAAACTCAATGGCGGGGAGCAAAATGCCCGAATTTCAGAGCGGCTCACATGCAAATATCGGGGGGTCCTAATGGGAAATGTTCCACCGTTTAACTTTTTAGGCCATGACTGATGCGGACGTAGCCCCCCTAGCCTCTATCAAACCTTGCTTCCTATTACGGTACATCTATCCAACTATGGGCATAACCTAAATTAGACTTGTAATATCCAGGGGTAATAGGCTTTTCAAGCTATTCCAGGCTACATGATATAGTTAATATGAGGGTGGGTAAGATGGATTGTCGTTTATGTATTCGATCGGACAGGAAAGTCAGCCGAGTGAGTGGAACGATACGCTCAAAGGGCTAGGGACACCTTGGACAATGTAGCAATCGGGGCTTACACATGCAAAACGTGAGGCATGAGCTGATTTATATCGTACACGTGCCAAAACATGCCACGTCTGAGATTTTTGTGCACTCGGGAGTAAAAGGAAAATACAGTTTGTTATTTTAAAGATAAGAAAAAAGTAAATCCATTGGCACAATAAATAAGAAATTGTAGCCGTTCGTTCCAACATTGCTGTTGGGGAACCTATATAAGCAGCCAGAATTGCTTCACATCGATGAAACTGGCCGCACAACAATGTTATCAAGCAGGCAACCAATTACAAAGTAAAATACATATTAAACTGTGAAGTATTGATATATAAAAGTTGGAAGCCAGCTTCCGAAGAAGACTGTTTAGTTATAGAATTGTAAATAGATAAGTCGAGAAAATATTAGAAAAAACATTGGTCAAACTACTTGATTTACAAACCCATGACAACGGCAGCAGCAACGGCTGCGGCGGCGGCGTAAGCACCGTTCTTGTTGGCACCAGCGACGAAGGTAGAGACAGCAGCGTGGGAAGAGGCTGGGCAGTTGGTGACTTCTGGACCACAAGAAGTGATGGTGTCAACGGTGGTGGATTCATGAGAAACAGTGACGGTACCGTTACCAGCTGGGACAGCGGCGGAGGTAACAACGGCGGAGGAAGCGGCGACGGAAACGGCGGCGGAGGAAGCAGCGACAGAAGCAGCGGCGGAGGAAGCGGCGGCAGTGGTGGCAGCAGCAGAGGAAGCAGCAGCGGTGG